TAATGTGGATCTACACTGAAGATAAACCCTAGCATGTAGATGGTACATTCTAGTTATGTAGTTTAATTAGATCCTCACAACTTCGAGAAGAATGACTATTGTAGTAATCCAGGCAAAAGATAAAGGAAACCCAAACAAGGAGAGTGGCCGTCGGAGGGAGAAAAGTGAGAAGCTTTCGAACCAGGTGTCTGGCTTGGACACCTGAGTGGATGATGGTGCTCTTCACTGAGATATGAAGGAGGTATAGTTTTGAGGGGAAATATGATAAGCTTAGTTATGGACATGCTGACTTACAGGTCCCTGTCTATCATCCAGGTGGTGGTGTTGAGTAGACTGCTGGGTATGCAGATATGAAACTCAGAGGAGACATCTGTATAGATATATTCTTGAGCACCATCAACATATAATAGTAATAGAAATCCAGCAAGAATGAGTACAGGCAGAACAGTGAAAGCAGTGTTAGGGAGAAGGATGTGCCAGAGCAGCAGCAGAGAGTTGAGGAGAATGGTAAAAATGGATATAGCCAGCAGTAGAGAAGAGGGGTTAGTGTGGAAGGGGACATGAGGTCAAAGCGGAGATTTGTGAAGATGGCAAAGACATGTTTAAATGCCAATGGGAAAGAAAAAGATGGCCCCACTAAGCACCTCTGTATCTGTCCGTCACCACACCTGACCCCAATAACCCTCAGAGAGTATCAGTCACTGCTTTACTTCTGCCTTTGAAACCTAACACAGGTTCTTCTCTTAGCCAAGTCTAACTCAGAATCATACTAAAAGTGGAATTCTAGGAAATACAGTTCTCAGTTTATCCAAGTTGACATATCACAATCCAGCACAGTCCCACCAACTTGGTATCCACACGCACTTCTTTTTTTTTTTTTTTAAAGATTTTATTTATTTATTCATGAGAGACACAGAGAGAGAGAGAGCGAGAGAGAGGCAGAGGGAGAAGCAGGCTCCCAAGGAGCAGGGAGCCCGATGCGGGACTCGATCCCAGGACTCTGGGATCATGACCTGAGCCGAAGGCAGACGCTTAACCATCTGAGCCACCCAGGCGCCCCCACATGCACTTCTTTAACCATATTTAATTTCCAAATAAAAACAGCAACAAGACCATGCTTTTGTGTAACATGATTAAATTGTCATACAAATGAAAACTTGTTAACCTTCTCCTAATAAAAGGGTACACAAAAGTCTACTTCATTTATCCCAAAGAGAAAGTTTTGCCACCCACCCAGCACTAAACTGAGCCTTGAAAAAGCTATTACATAATTCAACCAGCTCAGTTGCTTCCAAGGTGATAGGAAGACTAGTTCTGCATTCATTCTCTGTAAAATGAGTTTCCTGGTCAGAACCAAGGCTGATGGGATACCATTATGGTGAATAAAGCATTCTGTAAGTCCACAGATGAGTGGTTTTGGATGAAACACTGCAGGAAGGGATGGCAAATCCGTATCCAAAATAAATATTCTAGTAAGAACAATGCATTTCTCTTCTATGGTGGAAATGGTCCAATGTAATCAGCCTGATGCCAGGTGACCTGAGAAATAGTGCCATATCTCCAGTTGGCATTGGTCTTTGTTGTTGGCAGTTGGGGACTCATGAATGGAAATAACCATACTGGTGAGAGAAAGTCCATGTTGCTGGATGACCTCAATCCCTGCAACTATGGCCACTTTATTTATGAGAGCCTTGAGCGAGGACAGAAGTGACTGGGAAAAGATGCTTATTGACATCCATAAGAAGGGTCATCCTGTCTACTTGATTATTAAGATCCTTCTCTGGTAAGATTGGCCTTTGGTGAGCATTCATCTGGGACACACATATCATATTCTGAGTTCATTCAAAGAGGTCTATCTTCATATCCCTTCTCCAAAACTCATTGCCTCTGACTCTTCCATCATCATCCTTCCAAGTCCATAACCAAACAACCAAACTGATAGCCTTTGCTCATGAATTAATGCAGATCCATACTTCTGGTCATTTTTGTCCTTCCAGGCAAATTAATCAACCAGGTACACTGTTTTGCCCACTGAGAGAATTTCTCTTCAACACTGTCCTTCGTGGCCACATCTGAGTGGGGCTGTAGTGCTGCAGACACACAACTTCAACTTCTGCTAGCATTTTTGATAGAAACGTCTGTAAACCCAACCCCTTATTTTCCTTCCTCAATCAACTGATCCTAAAAAACACCCCCATGAGGCCATAGATGCACATTGAGAGAGGAGAGACAATGGAGCAAAAGTGGGTTTCTCAGAAATCTGGGCCACTTACTGATGAAATTTCTTACGTCTCCAGGACCTGCTTGGGCCTCATCTCTTACATATCACTCCCACCTGATGATGAAGTGATAATGTGCACACCCAACACTATAGCTTATTGGGTCCGACATCACTTATTCTGTGATGAGCAGCTCAGGATGCATGGTGTCCCATAGCTAGCGTGCTTAGTCTCTAGTAGGGCCTGGAACTATGCCAGAAGCTGTTTCTCAAAAAAATAGTAATTGGGGGAGGATGACATAACTTTGCTTCAAAATCTCTAAAGATCTGTGCTATGATTCACCCACAAAGGCTTGCCAAATGCTCTACAATGCATCTCTATCTGTCAAGACACTTCAAGAACCTTTGGATCTGCTGACTCAGACAACTGCTTCTGGTGGTCTTTACTAATGGGCATCGAGAAAAAAAGCACTTGCCAAATCCAGAGCTACCAGAGTGTATGTTGTTTTGGTTCAGCAAAGAAACCACACTGGAACTATAGCCGGGCAAGCAGTTAGAAAGAAGAGCTCTTGGCAGAGTGGAGGAGAATAAGGGCATGCTACAACTCGCTGGGAACCTATGCATCTGTCTATTACCACATCCGACTACTAGGACCTTCAGAGAATAATGGCTGCATCTCTGCTTCCACCTTCCATATTTGCACAAGTTTCTCTTTAGGCCAACTCTACCCATGAGTCACAGTGTAAAGGGAATTCTGGGATACGATTCCCAGCTTAATCAAGTTGACCCAGCATAACCCAGGACACTGGGTTTTATTATTGTTCTTATTTTTTACTCTTTAGCATGTATATTCTTTTGCATGTGTGGTTTAGTTCATAATTTTAAAAAAGGATGTTAAAACCACTTTAAAAATTGATGTATAGAAGCCCTTGTTGCAGAGATATTTGTAAAAAAAATCACTTGTGACTGAGAAAAATTACATTTTGTTGTACGCCACATTCTTCCCTCTCCTACAGAAGAGATTCCTTTTCTGAGTGCTGAGATGAGTCTAAGGATGCAACTTGGAGAGGGAACTGTGAGATGGGGGTGAGGTAACAGTTTGGGATGAGAGGCTGAAGAATTTAGGAGAACAATTCTGGAGGGGGCGGGGAAGATTTTGAAGAGTAAAGAAAATTGCTGTCCACAATGGAAAATTGGGAAAAGAACAGAGATCTTGGAAGGGGATTTTATTAAGGTTTAAAATATGATTTTGCAACACAAAGCCTCTCCCCTTAATGCACGGAATTCTCAGCAAAATATCCATTTCTCATCCATGCATGGAAGAGGCAGATCTATAGTGGGTCTAGGTCAAAATGCTGAGTGCAATCTCAGTAGCAGGTCTTGGGCCAGAGCTATGGCTGCTCCCAGGGAGTCTGCTATAACTCCTGTTATATTGGTAAAAAAAAAAAAAAAAAACAATGCGAAACACTGTTACTAAATTGCTGTAAGCAGTTTTCTGCCCTGCAAGAAGACACTTTGAGGCAGATTATCCTTTTTTTCAGGGGATAAAGCCCTGAATTGGCCCTTTAGTTACTCAAACATAAAACAAGTTTCCACTTATTGTTCTTGGGAAGATCCATGATGTAACCTGAAAGCAGATATTTTAGCCAAAAAGCCAAGTGACTGTGGTATAATATAAATTGTCTTGGCTAGCTTTTAGCAGCCAAAATTATGCATCTACAGACTTTGTTGCTTCTTTGGGAGAAATGTTTATTTTCTCTGTATAGAATTAAACTGGATGTTCCTTACCTAGAAGCAGGTGTTTATTCTTGTAGAGATATTTGTGCCTTTATGGGCAGAAAGAGGAAGCTGTGAGGAAGAGAAAAGCAGGGGGGATGTGTAAACAAGATCTTCACCTCACCCTGGAATAGTCTTTTGAGTTGGGCTCAGTTTGGTGCATGCCAGTTGTTTAATCTCCTGTACCTGGGACATGTGGTTAAGAGCATGGGCTCTGGAGTTAGACCACTTCATCTGAATCTTCCCTCCCATTTATAGGCTCTGTTGCCTTGAACAAATTACCTAACTTCTCTGTTCTTCATTTTATTATAAAATGGGAGGGATGATAGTTGTTACTCTATAAAGTTGTCGAGATGATTGAAAGACGTGTATAGAGGGTTTAGTACAATGCTTGGCATATAATAATGACACAATACATTTTAGAATAATCAAGGAAATGCTGACATCAGGCCATCAATGATATCATTGCCTAGCAGGAACCAGCAGGTGAGGCCACTTCAGAGTTGGTTGGAGTCTCTTCAGAAGTATAATTCCCATTGCTACTCAACCCAAGAAACTGTGGATTACAGGGGTAGATGATGGAACGAGAAACCAAGAATAGACAATGTGAGAAATGAGTCAGAAATGAGTGAGACAGAAATATTTACAATGAAGTTCCAGATCTCCTGGAAGAAATAGAGAAACTGCATCTGAAATTAAAGAGGAGGCTTCTGAGACGCCAGAAACAAGACTCTGAAAACCAGAAGAAATAAAGCCTGCTCCAGCGCTGGTTAAGGGAGACATCATAGGATGACAAGCAACTTAACATACGAGACAGAGGAGGGCTGGGATCTACCCTCATCTCGGGGGACTTGCTCACCGTTTGTGAGGAACACACTGAATAACACACTGAATAGGATACTGTTTCTATCAGCATCACTGTGTAACAACTTCGTCCTCCCCCCGCCCACCACGCCGCCTCACACACAAATTTAGCGGCAGAAAACAGCAATTATACTATACTCACCGCATCTGCAGGGAGGCTTGTTTCTGCTCTCTGACATCTGGGGCCTCATCTAGGGGTTTGGAATCATCTGGAGGTATCTTCACAGTTGATGCTGGGCGCGGCTGCAACCTCATTAGGGCTGTCAGCTGGAAAAAGTACACATGACCTCCCCATGTGGTATCTCTGCAGGAGATAGCTTGCACTTCCTCATCTGAGTGGCTGAGTTCTGAAAGTGAGTATCCCAAAGGGCTGGACAGAGATTTAATCACTTTCTATAATCTAATCTCAGAAGTTCCATGGTGTCCCTTCTTCTGAAGTCAAAAACCCACTCAGCTTCTAGTGAAGAGAACATAGATTCCACTTCTCCATGGGAGGAGTGTCAAAGTCATGTTGTAAAGAAGAGGCAGGACGGGAATTATCCTTTTGGTTATCTTTGGAAAATAAAATCTGCCACATATGGATGGCACTACTGAACTGCTCTTCTTGCCTAGGCTGGGGGGCGTTCTTTTTACATCCTTCTACACCTGGGACTCTAATGCTAAACGAGCAAGGTATTGCTCCATATGGGAGTCCAATAGGACGGAATTTCTTGAAAAGTTCAGATTAGGAAAGGGTGGCTGCATGATGTGTTACCACATGGAAGGAAAAATCTCTTCCAACATAATGAGTGGAAGAATACAGACAAAACATGATTTTGGAAAAGCCAGAAGCAATAGAAACATATCTTGGTTGGAGAACAAGTGGAAATTAGCGGCAGGATGAAGAACAGGGAGAAAGAGCAGACTGGTGAAGGCCGTAAAAGGAAAAATATTTTCTGTGAAATAGAGATAAGCCTTGGATGGGGCACTTGGATGGCTCAGTCGGTAGAGCATGCAACTCTTGATCTCAGAGTTGTGAGGTCAAGCCCCACGTTGGGTGTAGAGATTACTTAAAAATAAAATACTTTTTTTAAAAAAGAAATAAACCTTGGACAGAATTAGCCAATCTTAACTTATAAGAAGTAGGTAGCAAACTGTTTTCGGTTGGGGAGGCAGGGGGCATTAACTGAGAAATTATTTGTTGTTAATGTGTATTCTGTCATATTCGGGAATGACAGCTCAAATGGGGACCATACTTCTAAGAGATGGTGATATCTTAGAACTACTTAGTACTTTACTATTATTACTTCTTATAACATTGTTGTAACAGGTATACCACATTCATTTCTTATTCTATTGTTTTTTTTAAATGTTACATCTTTTATTTATTACGTTAAGTATTTAGTATCCTAATTTGCATTATCTTTGAATCTAGGTTATACTTTCTGGAGTCTGTCAAACTATTTAGTCATCACTACCTGGAACATTTTAGCAGCAGGTGGCAGCAAAATCTGAGAGCTGACATAAAATTCTTGGCAGGAAAGTAAACACCTAATTAAGAATTTACGTCAAACCTCAGGATCGTTAATCAGGAGTAGCAAATGCATTACTTCCCCGCTCCCCTTGTTTCTATTTAGATCACACCCCCCCATTTTAGTGAGTGATTGTCCAAATTGCGTATATACCCTATCCCTGGCCCCCATACGCTCACACACACTCCTGCAGACACAGAATAGCCAGCCAGCCAAGTGTACCATGCTGGAGGCTCGCTTCAGGAGGGCGAGCTCTAGCATAGCCCAGAGCACAGAGACCCAGCAGAATAAACCAAACTGGAATCCGTTGGGGAAATCCAGGGTCTAAAACAACAGAGACCAAGTTCAAATACCAGTTTGCAAACCAGAGGCAGACCCAAAGCCAGGAACCTGAATGAGACAAAGAAGAACTATAAAGCAAGAGCAAGAATGAAGCCTAACAGTAACTCACCTTTAGAGGTCAGTGAGGGCAGCTGCTTGGTTATTTTGAGCTGGCCTAAAGAGACGGAGAAGAAACTAGAGCTCTCTTAAAGGTATCCAAGGGTTGACTACATCACCTGGATAAGATTCTCCAACTATCTGGGCTGGCCAAAGAACAGAGTTCTGGGATCCTTTTCTGGTTTTACCCTGTATTTGATGGGTGATCCAAACTGGTTGTTTCCAAGCTTGAGGTGACTCCCTCATTAGATGAGAGTTGGTACATATCTAATCTTGCCGGGAGAGATGGTAGTGATTTGGGATGGCAGTTCCAATTCGCTCTTATTTAAGAAGCACTGCCCTTGTCATTTCAGATTTTATCTGGCTGGGGCTCAGTACTTAAGTTGTCAAACCAGGTAGAGGTGCATACATTTTAAACCAAATACAAAATCATTTTAAAGTCCATTAAACAGATTTTTTTTTTTTGGAGAGTAATTCAAAATTGCCAAGCAACTTTATTTTTCAGAGGCTTCCTTAATCATGATAAAGTTCCAAACTGTATTTTTCAATAATTATATTTTGCAAGCATTTTTTTAAAAGCAGGTGTCAGAGCTTTTAGGCATTTTCAATCCTTTTTCCTACTTGTTGTAAAGGCCCACAATTCAGGCCTTGGAACATGTATCAAACTCTCAAATGAGACACCATCATTTGAAGAGTCTCTATAAGGTTTGGAAGTGAATATTTTATAATCATTCTTTATTCCTGAAGATTTCCATACAACTCCATGTTTCACTGTAAAAAGAAAATGGATTTTCATGTCATATGTCTAAACGAAAAACAACAGTGTTTGTTTCATAGGGCATTTCAGAAGATGTTTAACAGGTGGGAGGACTAGCTTTTGCTCTTAGGAAGAAAAGACCTATTGTGATCAGTAACTGCCTCTTGAGAAGGAGCTATGTTTATTTCTGGCCTTGCAAACTAAGAGGCGGACTGTCTTCACAGAGCAGGTGTTTGTGGACAGCTAGCAGCAAGATGAAATCAAAGTACTTCATGGTGAAGAGTTGCCAGGTGCCCAGAGAGGCCCCAAAGGGGCTATACCCCCCGTGTGATCTCCGTGTTTCAGAGGCTATACCTCAGGAACCTGATTTAGCAGCATGGTGAGAATGGATCTCTCTTTCTCTCTCAGAGGGACGCCTACTTACAAGCTCTGATGTATAAACCAGAAAGCTCATTTATTTATTTTTGGAAGCCCATTTCCCAACTTATATCTAGGGACTAGTATATTCTTCATCTACAGACAGATCTACACAGAAAACAAAATTATTATCAGAAGTCTGCTGCACATAAGCGTAGATGCAGAACAAGGGGAATTAGCACATGACTCAAGTGTTCAAGAGCATTAGCTTTGATGTAGCCCAATGTACTTATCTCCATAAGGAACAAGACAGATTAAATCCTGCACTTGTTCCTTTATCTGGACTTGATCTAATAGCTTTTCTAGTTCTGACATTTTATATTCAATTTCAGCTTGATTTCCATTTTCTTCTGGTGCAAATGGAAGCCTAACAGGAACTCAGAAGGGTCAGACAAAGCACAGCAGTAGAGAACTGTGGCTCAAGATGTATGAGGAAGAAAGAGTGCCCTGAGCCACTCTGCATGACTTCAAATCTCTAGACCCAGATGAATTCTATCCCACGATGTACAAGAAACACAGAACTGTTTGTCATCCTCTGAGACATTTTCAGCCATCACAGAAATGAGAAGAGGTGCTTATGTACTAGAAACAAGTACACGTTTTACATTTCTAAATAGAGAAATGATTTGAGCCTGAAAAGAAAGGACAAGTGAGTAAGTCTAATGTAAACCTCTGGAAAAGTTTAGGCAGATTATTGAGCATTAAAAAGAATGAAGTGGGGCGCCTGGGTGGCTCAGTTGGTTAAGCAACAGCCTTCGGCTCAGGTCATGATCCTGGAATCCCGGGATCGAGTCCCGCATCGGGCTCCCTGCTCGGCAGGGAGTCTGCTTCTCCCTCTGACCCTCTTCCCTCTTGTGCTCTCTCTCTCTCATTCTCTCTCTCTCAAATAAATAAATAAAATCTTTAAAAAAAAAAATGAAGTGATCCCCAGGAAGCAACATGAGTTCACCACCCATGAATTGCCATTCATCCAGTTCATCCTTTATATTCTAGGCTGGGTTATTAGCAGGCATATTTGTTTATTGGTTTATCAGATTTAATTTTTTTATTTTTTTAAATTTATTATTTATTTGAGAGAGAGACAGACAGAGATAGTGAGAGAGAGCATGAACAGGGAGGAGAGGGAGAAGCAGGCTCCCCATTGAGCAGGGAGCCCAACACAGGGCTCGAACCCAGGACCCTGGATCATGACCTGAGCCGAAGGCAGATGCTTAACCCACTGACCCACCCAGGTGCCCCGGTTTATCAGATTTAAATGTAAATCATATTTAAATCAAAACAAATCCAAATTTAAATTATAAAATCAATTGGATGGCATTTAATTTTCTTTCTACGTTCTAAATCAGTTAACTTAGCCGCAATTATTTGTTCATGAGAAGTCTTTTTTCTTTTAAGATTTTTTTATTTATTTATAAGAGAGAGAGAGAGAGAGCACAGAGGGCGGAGTAGAGGGAGAGGGACAAGCAGACTCCACACAGGGTGCAGAGCCCCACGCAGGGCTTGATCTCATGACCCTGAGGTCATGACCCAAGCTGAAACCAAGAGTCCAACACCCAACTGACTGTGCCACACAGGGGCCCCTCATGAGAAGTCTTAGTAAAACTCTGTAGTGAGTCCATCTTGACCATTTGCCCACTCTGCCTCCTATAGTCACCCCAGAGACATTTTAGTTCTAACACTATTGCCTCTATCTAGAACATCTCTAAATTCCTCTTTCAGAATTCCCTTCTGAAGTTTACTTTCTGTCTTCCCAGGTAGAAAGTCATTCCCCTTTAGAGAATGGTTTTTTAGAAATGGTCTAGTCTATTAGAAACAAAAAAAGATGAACTTTGATCACCCAGTCAATTAGATGAAGGGGTGGGGAAGTGAAGAAGGTAAAGATGAAGGGTATACACATAAACCAAGGGAACTGATTTAGCTGGGGGTCTTATAAATTGGACCTGAAAGCAATCTTTAGACAGGAATTTTTTAATGGAAGAAAATGTCCTTAATACTTTCAAATTCTTAGAGATCATCTTGATTTCAAATATTTTAAAAATGCATATTTAAAATAAGGGAAACTGAATATAGGAAGACTACAGACTTTTCTATACTTTACTTTTTTCTGATACAGCATTGTAACCTGAGCATTACAAATATCTTTT